TTTCTGCAAATGACTAGCAACGTTTTAGCAAAGTTCTCTCTGATCAACCCAACGACGCTCTTCAAGTGCATTATGGTCTTGACTCCCAAATGAGACGTGACATCGACAGACTGCTTGTGCGGCTGTGCTTATCCGTCTGCCCTAGACACCAAGTCCCCGGAATTGGCAGCAAATTCGGCTGGAATGGGCTGAGCATACTGTGGACGGTGGTTTGGATTTGGGATGTCGAGAGCGTGAGCAAGGCAAGGGTTAAATAGAGATTGCGAAAGGGGCATAAGCTCTTCTGGAGATGGCAGCTCTTCTATCATTTTTTAACTTATTACAATTAAAGAGAACATATCTTCTATCGACGCATGATTAATTTGGATATTAAATGTCCACCGAAAGATGATGAGAACTATTTAAAACATGTGCCAAAGATGTCTCTGTTTAATGGCAATGCCAAGGTAATGAGAATTTTGAGAACTAAAGCCTTTTGAGCTCCAACACGCTAAAAAGTAAACATTCGTTTAAACTAAATCCATTTACAACCAAACAAATTCTTTATCACTTTCCTATAGTTTTTAGGTAAAGGACTTTTTCATCAAATGTTGTATACATCAAATTCATGTATGACATAAAACAAGACATCAACAGAAAGTTCCTCTAAAAAATCATAATATGTTTAACTGTTGATATCTCGATTCCCTGACTAATGACAATTTTTTTTGCTTAAATCTAAGTTACCAAACATAATGCCACTGATCCCAGAAATACAACAAATCATACTGAACCTATATGTACAGATACCAAACAAGCGATATGTCAAGGATGGTACTTGGTACCAAGTATACATTATATACACCCCTATTCAAGCTGAAAGGAGTAGACAAGCATAAAAGATCGGACCAGAAGTCAAACTAATTAAACCTTGACAAAAGTTGAACGACCAATTCAACCATCAAGAAAAATAATAAAAAAATAGAAATCAAAATTAATCATAAAAAATAAGAGGAAGTTTGGTTACTGGTTCAATATTCATCAGGTTTATTATTAAAGAAAGAAAATAAAGAAGTTTTCAAACACCATTTAAACGAAAATGAAAAAGTATGATTGTTACAATCCTTAACTACCAATAGAATCCACCAAAAATTCAACACGAAGGAATGAATGGTCTAACAATGTCTTTAAACAATGACCCTAGCAGTTCACACACTAAGCCCTAACATATTGAGAATTTTGCATGATACAAACTCTTTGTTACCGTTTAACCGTTCATCGAGTAATCATAGCTCAAAGGTGGTTGGTGAACAAATGGAGCCTGCAACCAAAGATAAAATACACATACAATTCAAATGAGTCATTGTAAGTGTGGACATTATGTACCTGAAATACAGAGAATGTCTAATAGCAGCAATAACCAGATGCAAGCATGCACATGGAAGTAGGACTTCTATATAAGATAAGATATCGGAGCCTACCTGAAATATAGCATGCACAAACTGATCATATGAATGTGGATACATCATGTTAGCATTTGGCCACTGCACGTAAGTACCGTCTCTAGAAGCTTGATTCAGTCCCATGTAACAAAAAGGGCTCACAGCCGGCCTTGCAGGAACACCATAACCGAGGGGAGCTTGTGTGCTTGCAATCTGCCCCAACTGAGGAATAGCAGAATCATACTGCATAAATGGAACCTGAACCTTCTGCATATTGTAAGGAGCCACACCAACACTCTGGTTACATGGAATGCTTCTAACATACCTATATCAGTTCAGAACAACTTTGTTTAGAATTAAGAAAAACCCCTCCTTGAAGACCAAAAACACTCCCTATTTCATGCAATTATCGTTCTTATTTCATCCCTAATCATCACCGGTAATTTAACTTTTGCATCTTACCTACATGATGTTTTCAGAAGAAAACGGGAAAAGGAGCCACTATAAACCTTTGGTATAATTAAAGAGTTTGTGCAAAAATCATTACATGATACAAAGCGATAAACCACCTGAATATTTCCAAATTTCTGAAATACTAGGAGAATAAATCCCACCTTTGATAACTGCGGTCATAATCCGGGTCAGTACGATCCTTCTCTGTGTCTCTGAAAATGGCTACTCGAGATGTACCATCCCAAAAAGTACTATTGTTCTCCTGATCAACCATGGAGCTCTGGTAATTTTCCAACTCATCTTTGATGAGAGATTCGTTTTTCCCATCAATAGAAACCTGAGGAGAAGAATCGTCAGAATCAGGGGTGCTAGGGCTACTAAAGATACGAGCTCGTGCCCGATCATACTCTTCCTTCCTCTCTTCCACACTTCTCACAGAACTTCTTCTGATACCGCTTTGATTAGCTTCATTGACAGATCCATTATTTGGCCTGGGTCTAATAGCAATTTTAATCTGCCCAGGCTTATCATTTTCTGTGTTTTTAGCAGGAATTTCAGACAAACGAACTGCAGGCCATCTGATTTCACCTGCTATCTTTGCCACAATTTTGCTTCCTTCTAAGCCATTATCAAGAACCATAGTTACCAGCCCATAGTGCTGAGCAACACGATGTGCTGCAAGCCGAAGATATGAGGTGGGAAAATGTTGGAACTCAAACTGCTGCTGCTGCTGCTGCTCAGAATTTTGCAAAAACCTCTGGATATCAAGTTCCATCCGCAATACTAGCTCCCGGGAAAATGACAAAAACAAAGCAAAAAAGACATTAAATCTAAAATGAAGGCGCCATTCATAGAATATAAAAGAGGAATCGAACACTAAAACTCTCAAATTATAAAAGATTGCACAAAAAAATAAACTATTTCAGAAACCAATTAACCAATAAAAAACACCCAATTTGATTTAGATGTGTTGAGTAATGCATTGCCCCACATATTAAGCTATCATAATTAAGCAAAATTACCAACAAATCTAAAAAGTATTTCTCCCGCAAAAAAGTCAACGAAAAGAAAATACCAGATCTGAAAATAATCTCCACAATTAAACAAAACCCAACCCTAATTGACCCCAACCAAACCATATTCAATCCAAAACCCATATGGCAATCCCTAAATTCACAATACAAATTCAATGGCCTACGTATATTGAGATCTATTAAAGAGGCAAAAATAAGAATAAGATTAATCCTAAAATCTAGAAAAACCCAATATTAACGATACGAAATTGAGAATAAACGAAATAAAATTACTTGTGAGACGATGACGAGGATTTTGAAGAGCCTCAACGAGGAAAGGATCAACGGGTAACTCTCTTTCGTTAACAGCTCCGGCGGCTGCTGTTGTCGTTGTCGTCGGAGTCGAAGACATTTCCATGGCGATATTAATTTCCGATTTGCTACGATGGGGCAAAAAGAAACCTCTGCTTCTGCTTCTGCTTCTGCCTCTCCTCTGTTCTTCTCCTTCTTGATGATCAATATATGAATCAATCAATCAAGAAGAAGAGATAATCCCTTTTCTTCTTAGCATATGGGAAACGAAGGGAACGAGAGAGAGAGAGAAGAGAATCTGGAAGGTTTTTGGTCGTACGAAACAACTTCTCTCGCCAGAGAAGAAAGGAAAGAGGCAGCGGCAAAATCTAAAGAATTTTTATACCCTAATCTTAAAATTCCCCCAAATAAACAAACGCGTGTGGGAACACCAAAATTGACACCAATGGACACAAAGGTTTACTATTTAGGGTAAACTACACCAAGGTCACTAAATGTTTTAATAAATTTCAATATTCACCATTAAAGTTAGGGTAAACTACTTATTTAGTCACTAACTTATTCTCATGATTCTCTTTTGAACACAATTAGTTTTTTTCTCAAAATTATACCTAAAGTTATGTTGTGGTTCCGTTTTGATCACATGTCGTTAAAATATTAATGGTGATACTGATGTGTCACTATTAGGGATGTTAGACGGGTACAATTTTGTAGATTTCGCACCACACCTGCTCCAATTGGGGTGGTAATAAGTATAAGTTTAGTGGGTAGTAGATGGATGTGGATATAAAAAGTCGTACCCCTCGTAGGTAGTGGGTAGGTGATGAATTTGAGACCTTACTCGTTACTCCGCATCCGCCTCCCCACTAATTACAGGACATGACTTATAATTTAACCAAATATCAGAGAATAAACATTTTTAGACCATCGTTTTCCTATCTCAAATTCCCAATCTTTAGAATCATTTTCTTAGGGGATGTGTTTATTTTATGTTTTTTTACTTATGTATTCTATGAGGTTGCCGCTAGACGAGTATGGGTGGGTAGATATGGGTACGGGATGAGTGGTGAGTATCCAGTTGGGTAGTGGGTGTGGGTGAATTTGAGAATGTATCCATATGGGCAGATGTGGATTTAAAAATTTTACTCGTCGTGAGTGGTGGGTAAGTGGAGGATACAAAAATATTAGGCGAGTATGGAGATGGGTGAAGGGTATTTGCACCCGCCTCACCGATTGTCATCCCTAATCACCATAAAATAATATCATATTATTATTAAAAAATAAAAAAGTTATCATATCATTAGTTATGTTTTTTTTAATAATGAATGATTTTCTGCAACTTTGAGTAAGATTATTGTTCAAATGAATACCTACTTAGGGCATCTCCAATGCTGCGCTGCATTGGAGAATTTCGCCAAAGTAGAGATGAAACCGAGCTCCAGCCCTGCGCCACTTCTCACGTTACAGTAACGTATTGCTACAGTACCACACCACATCTAGCGCGATACTGTAGCTCGCGCTAGATTTTAGTTTTTTTTTTAAAATTAAAATATATTAAATTATAAGATAGATAAAAATAAATTAAAATTCGATAAATAATCACACTAATTTTTTTATAATTTTTCGGATTTTTTGTATTTTTTTCTGATTTTTTTATATTTATAAAATTAATATTATAATAGTTAAATATTGTGAATAAAGTAGAGTTAGTAGTAATGTAGAGATAGCGCTGAAGATGAATTACTGTTTCATCTTTAGAGTAGAGATAGAGATGCGCTAGAGTAGAGATGAGGACCGGAGATGGCCTTAATAAACAATTTCATTCACCAACAAATATAATTCTGAAATCCGAACACTTCAAATGAATACCTACTTAATGGCAACAAATCAATGTTTCACTGGAAGAAACGCAGGAATTAGTTTCCAGAAATCCTAATCTAAATCTAAGCAACCTGTAGCCTGCTTTCAGCACATAATAGATACTTGGATGGCGGAAACAACGCGACGGCTCCTCGTAGAGAGCTCGAGTACTTCTTATACACAACCTGAAGCCTACTCTCAGAAGCTTTGGAATGAAAATAAGCCAGCTTTCAATGAATACCTACTTAATGACAACAAATCAATGTTTCACTGGAAGAAACGCAGGAATTAGTTTCCAGAAATCCTAATCTAAATCTAAGCAACCTGTAGCCTGCTTTCAGCACATAATAGATACTTGGATGGCGGAAACAACGCGACGCCTGCTCGTAGAGAGCTCGAGTACTTCTTATACACAACCTGAAGCCTACTCTCAGAAGCTTTGGAATGAAAATAAGCCAGCAGCTTGGCACAATCCACGAGCTGTGGCTCCGAGTAACCGGTGTGGAACTTGAGCGTGTCGGTCCAAGTCGGTGTCTTGTTTAGAGTGCATCGAGCAGCATACACGGCTGAGGCAGCAACCATAGATGGGCAGAATCGAATGGTCTCATAGTGCATTATCCCCAATTCAGCTAGGAAGTATACCATGTTTTCCATCTGAACAACACAAAACACAGTAGAACATGTAAATTTTCATCTAAAAACAAAACAAGAAAATGTAAGTGCAAATGTCCCTAAAGAATGAAATAGAAACTCACTTTCAGATCCGGGATCGACGCCTTGATGAACCGAGCGAGGAATACATAGTGCGTAGGGACTGTCAAAGTCCATTTCATCCTTCCCAGTATAGTTTTCTCCATCAAAAGTATTTGTTCACGAGTGTAAGTTCTGTCTGCAATGCATACTAGATCATTGACCTCAGGGGGCCAGATTTCTTCATATTTGGTGGCAATAAGCATGGCACTCATGCCAAGCAGTTGTAGTTCCCTCCCCGGAACGACTTTCACCGATAGGAACCGATCGATCAAATTGACGGTAAGATAGAGAGCTTCCGGTGAAAGCTCAAACTTTTGATGAACATCAATCAGCCAATCGATGAGAATTGCCCTCATCTTCTCATTGATATCAGTCTGCAAGTGCATATAGTCATTTGGCCTGCTCTCGTTCTGCATTTCCACACCATTTTTCATAAATGTCAGCTTGTCAAAACTCGAAATCATCAAGAGAAAATATACTTTGATTGAAATTTGTTGTTATCTATTTGCTAACCTCAACAGATTTATAGAACTTGTAGATATCTTCAACATATTCCACACCTGCCAAGTGGTTATTAGCATCTGCTTCATCAATGTCAAGAACAATCTGCTCCTTTGGCTTGTTTGCAATTCCATGAGCAGCCTGAATTCCAGAACAACAAAGTCACCTTCATTGCCTCGAGTTTTCCACAATAATTACTCGAAAAAAGAATCAAAAGGTTGATTATTTACCTTGCTTCTTGCAGTAAGGGCTGAAGAAAAAGTATGTTGCTTTTTCTTGGATGATCTCGCCCCTTCAGTTACTTTCTTATTATTCTTCACTTCAACCTCATCTTTCTTCTTCTCCTCCTTTACCTTCTCTTCCTTTACTTCCACCTCTTCTTCGACATCTGGACTGATTTCGATTACTTTTGCCGTCGCCGGCAAGGGCTTAGCAGCCGGTTTCTTTTGAATAGCCTTCGGTGCAGCGGCAGCACCTCTTTTAGGCACTCCATCAAGAACAGGAGCTTTTTCCACATTAACGCATACATTTTTCTGGAATCCGAAACAAACCCAGAATTTGAATCAGTTCCAGTAAAGAAATATAATCAAAACCAGTCAATCAAATGAATTATATATAATAACAAACCTTGTTCTTCTCGGCGGCTGCGACAGCTTGGGCATTGGCAAGTAATTGAGCGCAAAAAGATCTGGTGAGTGGACGACGAATCTGCTGCTGGGGTTTTCCATCAACAACCACTCCTCGAACGTTCACCACATTCCCGATATCCCCCAACGCACGGCGGCTCCTCCCATCTCCGGGCGCCGCGTTTTTCTTCGTCTGCTTGTGAACTGCTACTCCGGCGCCTCCAACTCCGGCATCGCCTGTAAAAGAAAATCATCCTTAAATGATTCTTACATTTTAAACAAAATCACACCAAAACAAAAGAAAAACTCAAAGAAGCCATTTCTTTTTTTCACCCAAAACTTTCAAGATAAAACCCATAAAAATCATTTCAAACAAAAACGAAAAAACCCCAGCAAATTACCTCTGGCTTGTTGAGGAACAATGGGTCTTGAAGCCATCTTCGTCAATCTCTCCACTCTCGATTTTCTCTTTCGCCTTTCTCTTATGGATTTTAGAGAATATGAGAACAGGGGCGAGATTTGATTTCCTTTTGAAGCTAAAGAGGCCCAACGGTCAAATTTGATTTTTTCAATTTTTCACCGTTGGATAGTTTCTAATCTAACGGTAATAATTGCCGCTCCAAATTATAGCCGTTAACCTAACTGTCCGTTTAAAGGCTCCATGTGTATCTCTGTGGGCTAAAAAGAAAATTACCCGCTTGCATTTTAGGGCCTGCCTTTGTAATATATATTTTTAAAAAATAATAATTAAAAATTACTTTGCATTACTACTCACAACTAGGGTGAGCTTTCGATCGAGTCGAGTAAAAAAATTTAAGTTATTCGAGTCATATTTTATAACTCAAACTTGGTTTCAATTTTTTTAGTCGAGTCGAGTTGTTGTTTAAATTTAATTGTAAATATTTATAATATTATGATACTATTTGATTCCAATTTACACAATTTTATATAACCATACAATACATTTATATTCTTTAATTTGTTATATACATATACAGTTAGAGGTAGGTACATGGGCTAAGGCTTGCGGGTTACCCGTTTAACCCGTGACCCGTGTGAGTTTTGGACATAAAAAACTGAAGCTCGTTTAAATTGCAGACTTTTAAGCCCGGACCGTTAAACACGCGGGTTTAATGGGTATAACCGCGGGTAGCCCGCGAAGCCCGCAATAGCCCGCTTAATTTAAATTTTATAAAATTTTAGAGAAAATAAACTTAAAAAAATTTATAGAAAAAGAAAATAAATTACCAATAAATATAATGTTACTTATAACCATTGTAGTTCTTAAATTTATTAGGACATTTGTCATAATTCTACCGCTGCTTGATATTTTTTTTTCATTTACAATGTATCAAATTATTATTCATTTTAAAAAATAAAAATTAAAAGATTTATATAATATTTTAGTCTTATAAAATTTACATCATTATCACTTTGGTATTTAAAGATTTTTTATTTAATTTTGACCTTTATTTTTTCCATGAAGTATGTTATCCATTTCGTTCTTTAATTATAAAAAGTCACGTGATGTTTTAATAATATATCACATGACACGTAATATTTGGATTAAAAATAAGAAAGAAAAGTAAAAGAAAAAATTGAAAACATACTTTCCAACTTTTAAAGGCTTTTACAAAAGAAAATTTGTTAGATTTGTATAATGTTTGACTTTGTTGATTTTTTTGTTTGAGTTTTTGATTGCAGACACTTCTGTGTCTTCATATTATAGCATTGAATAATTGTGTTTTATAAAAGTATAATGTGGTTATTGTTTTATTTGTTTTTCAATTAAGTGATATAAGTGAATATTGTTTTTTTTAAATTTGAGTTTAAGTAATTATATCATTATATATATATATTAATGATTAAAAAATTAAAAAAATTATTTTATAATCATTTTCGACTTTTTAAATTATTTATTTTTTTGACGGTGCTACATTCATTTTTAAGTTACTGGATCATTTTTTAAGGTGTAGCATGTTAAAACATTATTTTTTATTGCATTTAAAACTATTTTTATTTAACGGGCCACGGGTAAGCCCGTTTAACCCGCGAGTTAAATGGACGGGTCACGGGCCTTAAAATTCAAAACCGTTTATGTATGCAGGCTTTTTAAACCGCTCCGTTTAAGCCCGCACCGTCAAAACCCGCGGGCTAAACGGACGGGTATACCCACCTCTATATACAGTAGGGAGTCGAGAGATTCAACTCAAACTTAAAAACCAATCCACTAATTACTAAAAATTTTGAGTTATTTGAGTTTTTTTTATAACTCGATTCGAAATTAAAAAATTTTCGAGTTAAGTTTATGAAATTACAACTTACAGTCAATTTGAATCGAGTTTTTTTATCTAGAAAAAAGTCGAAAAGATCAATTTTTAAGTCGGATTTTACTTACACGAGTCAACTCAAATTATACTATAATAAAAAAAAGTATTGAAATTGGAAAGTGATATTTATTCTACACTTACATCAACATGTTTACTTCAATTATGCCTCCAATAATTTGTTTACAAACAGCAAGTCTTGGTCCTCCAACTAATAGAACCAGACAGAGGTCCACGTTTATTTAAATAATGGTCTCTTCGTCGAAAAGATAATTTTTTAAGTCGAATTTTACTTACCCTACTCACTTCAAATTCTATTATAATAAAAAAGTATTTTAATAGACATGGAATCAAACAAGATTTTCTTACAGTCTAAAAACTACTAAATATTTTGAAATAATTCTCTTCCTTTTGATAAAGTTTCCAAGCACATTCCTAAAGTTATTAAAATGGACCCCTCTCTTCTTTCCCCCCCTAAAGAATCCTCTTTTTCTTAATAAGAAAACAAATATCCTTCGTCTTTAACATATAATATATGGTAATAGAATCAATATGTCCATTCTACCAACAATCAATTGATATAGTGAGATGAGACATTAGATCCCTTAAGCAAGGACAGAGGTTCGAATCTTGACGTTTGCGAATGGAGCAAACTGGATTGGGAGGGTCGTCCTCGCCTCTACAGTACTCGATCTGAATTAGTTGATCAATAGATCGGATACTAGTGATTAATTAAAAAAAAGTGCATTCTAAATTATTTTTAGTTAAAATTTCAAATCATAAAATTAAACTAGTACAATATTTTTTTAGGAAGAGAGAAATAATAATAATAAAAAGAATCCATCGTCTATGCATTATATCACGTTTAACTTAAATATAGATTGGACGTAACAGATGCCAATTTTAGCTAAATGAATATATAATTGTTTTTTTAAAAAAGAAAAAATATATATACAAGGCATCTGGTTGTCCTTTTTAATAATATTATTTTTTAGACTTAAAATTAATAATTTTTTAATAACAAAATATATCTTATTATTATAATTAATATTCGGTAAATATATTTAATAATTATTGATTGATAATTATATTTATTGTTAGAAGTTGTGATTATCAAAATGAATATAGATTTAGATGATAGTAAGAGATTTTAAAAAAATAAAAATATAATTTTACTTTGAATGACATAAAAAAAAATTAGAAAACATTAAAGTCACTTTGATTTTTTTTAATCATATAAAATAAAAAGGTAAAAGTAAAAGTAATGATAATGGAAGACCAAGACTTGCTGTTTGGAAAAATATATTATTGGAGGCAACATTAAAGTAAATATGGTGATAGAAGAAGTATCACTTTCCAACTTCATTGCTCTCTGCTTGCAATCTCACTTCGTTTTGTTTCTCCAAAATTGTGTATTAACTAAAGGAGGAGGAGAAGGAGGTATGTTTTCTTCAACTCACTGCTGATTCCCTTTAGTTTTTTTTTTCATCTTTGATTACGATTATGCTATGTGTTTCCTTCTTCAATATGTTGTTGTTTTCTTCTGCAGCGAGTGTTCTTGTCCTGAGGGTTTGCTTCCCAGTTGTTCTATAGTTTGTTCTGCTTCTTAGCAAATTTTCAAGGGAAAAAATGGACGTTCTTGTTCGCATTGTTGGATCTCTTGCTGGCAAAGCTGTTGAGTATGCTGTCGATCCCACTGCACGACAACTTGGTTACTTGTTCAAGCATAAGACCAAGTTTCTGAACCTCCGGACTAAAGTTCAAGACCTGGAGGATGCAAGACAAAGGCTGCAACAATCTGTTGAAACGGCTACCAGGAACGGGGAGGTGATTTTTGACGATGTCCAAAGGTGGTTGACAGAGGTCAATGAGAAGATCTCTGAGGATGCTACAACACAATTGCAAAAGGATGAAGAGAAAGCAACCAAGTGTTTCGTGGGCTTTTGCCCTAATTTCAAGTCTCGTTATCAACTTAGCAGGAAAGCGGACAAGGAGGCCAACGCCATAACTCAACTCCTGTCTAAAAAGGATGCATTTAAGGTTTCCTACCTTCCTTCAATTGAATCGGTAGACACTATCAGACCTGTCAAAGAGTACGAGGCCTTCGAATCAAGAAGCCGCGCTTTCGATGAGGTCATGGCTGCATTGAAAGATGATACAGTCAGCATAATCGGAGTGTACGGTATGGGGGGTGTGGGTAAAACCACACTCGTCAAAGAGGTCGCTGGAAAAGCCAAGGAGAAACTGTCGTTCGATGAGGTGGTCGATGAAGAGGTGTTTTGCTGGATTTCGCGCTGATTTCAAGTCCAGTTACCAACTTTGCAAGAAAGCGGACAAGGAGGCCAACGCCATAACTCAACTCCTGGCTAAAAAGGATGCATTTAAGGAAAACTTTGATGGAGTTTCCTACCTTCCTGAAATTGAAGCGATAGCCACTATCAGACCTGTCAAAGAGTACGAGGCCTTCGAATCAAGAAGCCATGCTTTTGATGAGGTCATGACTGCATTGGAAGATGATAGAGTCAGCATAATCGGAGTGTACTGTGTTGGATATATGAACTGCAAAACGACACCGTTAGCACTGACTGAAAATATAAATAGTAATTAAGAAGAACAGATTCGTAAACCGTGTCGTGGTAAGAACCACTGCCTTAGAAATAAATTCGCCTCAATGTGTGTAATCGCTGCAGTAGGCGGACCGTCCCCCGAGGTTAACACGGTCGCTCCGAATTCCGTACACCCGAAATCGGAGTGGACTGCTGGTGGTATTGCACTTCTGATCGGAAAGCACTCAGAGATAGGGTTAAAATCGTCCATAAAATTTCAGGATTAAACCTCTTATTTGTAACAGCTGAAACGTCTAGATGAACCTGACTCAGAAATAGTCCAGGTTCATTGTATCATTATTCAGCTGTTATAACTCCCGAAATTATATCATGTAACCCCTGGAATTAAATCAAATAACTCCTGTAACTCCTGATATTAACAGCTTGTCTCCTCTGTACAAAGCTGTAAATCAGCCCAGGTACATCTTAACGTTTCTGATTTAATTTAGGAATAAACTGTTTAATTTCTGATAAAAAAAATAATAATTCAGCTGTTATTATTTGAAATTCAAACAATCCTCAGCAGCCTATAAATATCAGTTGATATCTTTCACATTTTCCATTTGTTTCTTTCAAAGAGAAATTCCTCAAGAATTTTCTCTAAAAAGATAGTATCCGCGCGGACGTGTCGAAGACACGTATTACCACAACCACGAGCCGAGCCGAGCCGGACGGCGGCGGCGGTACGCGATAGCCCCCTTGTTCTCTATCACTCAACAAGGAAGTGGAATGTCAAGCCTTAAATACCATTCCCAATAGTATTTCCAACACTATGTGGGATTGAGCATTACCAACATACGGTATGGGGGTGTGGGTAAAACCACACTCGTCAAAGAGGTCGCTGGAAAAGCCAACGAGAGACAGCTTTTTAGTGAAGTGGTATTGGTTACAATAAAGCAAACACCAGACATGCGGAAGATCCAGGAGGAGATTGCTGAGAAGCTAGGCATGACAATCAGCGAGAACAGCATAGATATGAGAGCCGCTCGACTTCGTAAAAGACTAGGGAAAGAGAACAGGGTTCTTATTATTTTGGATGATATTTGGAAGTTCCTGGATATCGGGGCACTCGGAATTCCTTCAGCAGACCAACACAAGGGATGCAAGATCTTAATAACTTCAAGGAAGCTAGATGTGTTGAACTCGATGGGTTCTCAAAAAAGCCTTCCAATTGATGTGCTGAAAGAAGATGAAGCATGGAACCTGTTTAAGGACGTGGCTGGTCCTATTGCCGAAAGATCTGACTTGCAATCTACAGCAATGAAAGTCGCCCAAAAATGTGCTGGACTGCCACTCGCTATTACAACAGTTTCAAAGGCTTTGAAACATAAGGAGAATTTGTCTGAATGGAAGGATGCTCTGGAGCGGCTAAAACCCTCTGAAATAAACTCCGAAGGCATAACAGCTGAAGCATACTCAGCCATAGAGATGAGCTACAGATATTTGGAAAGGGAGGAACTTAAATACACTTTCTTGCTCTGCAGTATAATGGATCATGATGCTGCCATCGAAGACTTGCTGAAATATTGTAGGGGCTTGGGTTTATTTCATCGCCTTGACACGATAGAAAAAGTGCGAGACAGAGTGTTGACACTGGTTAACGAGCTCATAGAGTCTTCCCTGTTACTTGCTGGTTCTACATCTGAAAGATTTGATATGCATGATGTTGTCCGTGATGTTGCCATTTCAATTACTTCTAGGGACCTTCGTTGGCTTGCTTTAGGAAAGGAAGATGTAATTGAAGAGTGGAAGGATACAATGAGAAACTCTCATCTTGTTAGCTTAAAATATGCTAAGGTTAGTGAGCTTCCGGATGAGTTGGAATGTCCAGACCTTACATTTTTCTCTACGGATGACTCTGTGGAAGTTCCCGACAACTTTTTTAAGGGAATGCAAAGACTCAATGTCTTGGAATTTGATGGAACAAATTTTACAACTTTGCCTTTCTCCCTTGGTTTCTTGAAAACTCTCTGTACATTGCGTTTGATAGGCTGTGATGTAGAAGATATAGCTATCTTAGGAGAGTTGGAAAATTTGGAAATCCTTGACCTCCGTTGCTCTGGAATGAAAATGCTACCAAAGGAGATAGGACAGTTGACAAAGCTAAAATTGCTAGACTTGAGTGACTGTGATGATCTTGAAGTAATACCACCAAATGTGTTGTCAAAGTTATCCAAATTAGAATAACTATACCTATACAATAGCTTTGATGGATGGGAGATTGAGGGAATTGAGAATCCAAGAAGCAAAGCTAGTCTTATGGAGTTGCAGCATTTATCTCGTCTAACCACTTTGGAAGTACATATTCCTGATGTGGAAGCCATACCAAATGATAACTTGTTTCTAGGAAAGATGGAAAGGTTCAAGATTTCAATCGGAGATAAGAAGTGGTATGTTCATGAATATAGAGGGACGGAGACATCAAGAATGTTGAAGCTGAAGATTAATGAAAGTATTGATTTGGTCGAAGGGATTTATAAATTGTTGTCCAGAAAAATTGAAAGTCTATGTCTGCATGGATGGAAAGATGTTGTGGAAAGGCTTTACGATCTAAATGCTGAATCTTTTGAGCAATTAAGATTCATAAAAGTCGAAAATTGCAATATGTTGAAGAGTTTGTTCTCATTCTCCATAGCATTAATTGTTGAAAAGGAAGAGATTAGAGAGAATGACACTCTGAAATTTGATAAAAAGGTATTTCTATTCATCTTTTTTCTTCATCCGCATCCATCAATTTTTTGTTTTGATGTCTTTTCGTTTTCCCCCCTTTAAATTAGTTAAAAGAGTATATATTTATTTATATCTACACTATTATTATGAGTCAAGTGACATCAATTCAGCTGAAAATTTTGACGGAAAAAAAATCAAATTTTAAAACAATTATAAGAGTTTTTTTTATTATATCTTTTATTATCTTTATATAATATTCAAAAAGAATTTATGACTTTCTAAAAAATATATATATTTTTTAATGATAAATATTAATTAAGAAATAATTATTCATGATGGAATATGAAACATGAGTTTTATATATTTGCAGGTTTCGTGTCCTGTCTTGGAGGAGTTGGAGTTGAACTCAATCGGTGGCATTGAGAAAATATGGCATATTGATGATCAATTTCCATTAATGTCTTTTGGTGTTCAAAGTTTAACAAGTTTGACAGTGTTCGATTGCCATAAGTTGAAGTATGTATTTACTTCATCCATGGTTAGAAGCTTTGTGCATCTGAAAACACTTAAGGCTTCTTATTCTGAGGAAATGGAATGGGTAATAGAGGGAGTATTAGAGGCAACCGAAGAAGAAAGGATTAACGGCAGCATAAGTGTGTTCCCTAAACTTGAATGTTTGGTACTCGAATCTCTTCCAAAACTGAAAGGATTTTGCTTTGGAATTAATCCGATTGAGTTTCCCTCGCTAAGGGATTTAAGGATAACTGGATGTTCTGATTTGAACGCATTCGTTTTTGATAATGGAAAGAGCAGAGCAGTGGTACCACATTTCTTCCATGAAAAGGTATGCATAAAGATATAGATATTTCCTATATGTAAAATCACATGCATTCTATTTACTCATCTTCCAACCTTTTTTTTTTGAAAGACGACATTGAAAGTTAAAGTATATATATTTAATATGTAAGAAGTTTTCATTTTTAGTTAAATTTATTTGATATGTAAGAATATATATTTATCTTTTTTTTTCATCTATTAATTATGGCATCCATCAATTTTTCTTTTTTTGTTTTGATGGCTTTTCATTTTTTCCCTTTAAATTAGATAAAAGTGTATATATTTATTTATATCTACACAATTCAGTTGAAAATTTTATTGAATTTTTTTTAAAACAATTATAAAATATTATTATAAGAGTTTTTTATTATATCTTTTATTATCTTTATATAATATTCAAAAAGAATTATGACTTTCTAAAAAACAATATATTTTTGAATGATAATTATTAATTAAGAAATAATTATTCATGATGGAATATGAAACATGAGTTTTATATTTTTGCAGGTTTCGTGTCCTGCCTTGGAAGTGTTGGTGTTGAACTCAATCAGAGGCATTGAGAAAATATGGCATATTGATGATCGTCTTTCTGGAAGATATTTTAGTGTTCAAAGTTTAACAACTTTGACAGTTGAGGAATGCCATAAGTTGAAGTATGTATTTACTTCATCCATGGTTAAAAGCTTTGTGCATCTGAAAACACTTGTTGTTTGTGATTGTGATGAAATGGAATGGGTAATAGAGGGAATATTAGAGGCAACCGAAGAAGAAAGGATTAACAGAAGCATAAGTCTGTTCCCTAAACTTGACTCTTTGAAACTCAAATCTCTTCCAAAACTGAAAGGATTTTGCTTTGGAATTAATCCGATTGAGTTTCCCTCGCTAAGGGCTTTAGAAATATGGAGCAGAGCAGTGGTACCAGATATCTTCCATGAAAAGGTATGTATAAATATGTAGAAATATGGTTAAATCTATAAGTGGATGATCAAAACAAAAACAAAACATAACGTTTGATATGATTTTATAAAAAAATATAGTTGGGTGACTAAAACATAAACAAGATAATAAGAGGGTGACTAATTTTGCAGTTTATTTATTCAGATAAATTCTGATAAAACAAGGTTGATTGCAATGGTTTTGCGTTGGATTGGTAGGGTTGTTCATGAAGGTTCAAGTTTATGTATGAAGGCCAAAATAATAGAGATGAGAGACACAAATGGGATCAACTTGTTTGTAATGAATTAATGATGAGGACCCCACCATACGGAAGACAAAGACTAATCAATGCCGGGGACATTATTTAAATAAACGTGGACCCCATATCACAGAGATGAGAGACACAAATGTGTTCAAATTGTTTTTAATGAATTAATTGATGAAGATCCCACCATGTGGAAGATGAAGACTAATCAACGAGGGGGACATGATTTAAATAAACGTGGACCCCATATCATCAGATGAGAGATTGTTTGTAATGAATTAATTGATGAAGACTAATCGACGAGGGGGACATGATTTAAATGTGTTCAAATTTGTTTTCTATTTCTTTTCCACTCCACCATCTACCCCTCATAAGTTGCATGTCAAACCTATGCAACTTCTTAAATGTGTGTTTAAAGAGGGACTAAGTTGGTGTGATTTTAAAATATCAAGAATATTTTTTTTAAAATTAGGATTAATTTGATAGAATGTGGAAGTTTTATGGACTAAAGTTATTATTATATCAATAAAAAATCACCGGTTTTGTTTAGTCAACGGTTAAATTTATCAGTGGATGATCAAAACAAAAACAAAACATAATGTTTGATATGATTTTGTAAAAAAAATTGAAAGTAGGGTGACTAAAACATAAACAAGATAATAAGAGGGTGACTAATTGTGCAGTTTATTTATTAAGATAAAACAAGGTTGATTGCAATGGTTTTGAGTTGGATTGGTAGGGCTGTTCATGAAGGTTCAAGTTTATTCATAAAGACCAAAATAATAGAGACACGTATGTGATCAACTTGTTTATAATGAATTAATGATGAAGACTCCACCACATAGAAGATAAAGACTAATCGACGAGGGGACCATTCTTTAAATAAACGTGGACCCCGTCTGGCTCTGTTAGTTGGACGACCAAGACTTGCTGTTGGTAAACAAATTATTGGAGGCATAATTGAAGTAAACATGTTGATGCATGTGTAGAAGAAATATCACTTTCCAATTTCATTGCTCTCCGTTTGCAATTTCACTTTGTTTTGTTTGTTGGGATAACAAGAAATCAATCTTAACTAAAGGAGGAGGTATGCTTTCTTCAACTCACTGCTGATTCCCTATAGTTTTTTTTTCCATCTTTGATTATGATTATGCTATGTGTTTCCTTCTTCAATATGTTGTTTTCTTCTGCAGCGGGTGTTCTTATCCTGAGGGTTTGCTTCCCAGTTGTTCTCTAGTTTGTTCTGCTTCTTAGCAAATTTTCAAGGGAAAAAATGGACGTTCTTATTGGCATTGTTGGATCTCTTGCTGGAAAAGCTGTTGAGTACGCTGTCGAGCCCACTGCACGACAACTTAGTTACGTAATCAAGTCCAGGAGCAAGTTTCAGAACCTCCAGAGAAAAGTTAATGACCTAAAGGATGCAAGAGAAATGGTGCAACGATCTGTTGACGCGGCTAGCAGGAAGGGGGAGGTGATTACTAAGAATGTTCAAAATTGGTTGGATGAGGCCAATGATAAGATCTCCAAGCTGGATTCAACGCAGACAGAGGCCAATGAGAAGATCTCCAAGCTGGAAGCAACCCAGACAAAGGCCAATGAGAAGATCTCCGAGGATGCTGCAACACAATTGCTAAAGGATGAAGAGAAAGCAACCAAGTGTTTCGTGGGCTTTTGCCCTAATTTCAAGTCTCGTTATCAACTTAGCAAGAAAGCGGACAAGGAGGCCGATGACATAGCTCAACTCTTGATCCAAAAGGATGCATTTAAGGAGGTTTTTACCTGCCTTCCTGCTCTTGAAGTGACAGACCTTATCAGACCTGTCAAAGAGTACGAGGCCTTCGAATCAAGAAGCGGTGCTTTCAACGGGGTCATGGCGGCATTGGAAGATGATACAGTCAGCATAATTGGAGTGTACGGTATGGGGGGTGTGGGTAAAACCACACTCGTCAAAGATGTCGCTGGAAAAGCAAAGGAGAAACTGTCTTTCGATGAGGTGGTCTTTGTAGCTGTAACACAAACTCCTAACACAGAAAATCTTCAAAATGAGATCGCCGACAAATTAGGCATGAAATTCGACAACGACCCTAGCGCTGATGTCCGAGCAGCCCTGCTACGTAATCGACTAAGGACTTCCAAGAAGGTTCTTATCATCCTGGATGATATTTGGGAGAAACAGGAGGTGGACACACTTGGAATTCCTTCAGTAGACCAACACAAGGGATGCAAGATCTTAATAACCTCGAGGAAGCGCGATGTATTGATGTCGATGGATTCGCAAAAAAGCCTGTCAATTGATGTACTGAATAAAGATGAAGCATGGAACCTGTTTAAGAACGTGGCTGGTCATATTGCTGAAAGATCTGACTTGCAATCTACAGCAATAGAAGTCGCCCAAAAATGTGCAGGACTGCCGCTCGCTATTACAACAGTTGCAAAGGCTTTGAAACATAAGGAGAATTTGTATGAATGGGAGGATGCTCTGGAGCGGCTAAAACCCTCTGAAATAAACTACAGGGGGATATCTGGTGCTGTGTATTCCGCTCTAGAGATGAGCTATACATACTTGGAATCGGAAGAACATAAATACACTTTCTTGGTCTGCAGTATAATGGATCATGATGCTGCAATCGAAGACTTGCTGAAATATTGTTGGGGCTTGGGTTTATTTCCTGGCCTTGACAAGATGGAAAAAGTGCGGAACAGAGTGTTGACACTGGTTAGCGAGCTCAAAGACTCTTCCCTGTTACTTGCAGGTTCCACCCCTGAACGCTTTGATATGCATGATGTTGTCTGCGATGTTGCCATTTCAATTGCTTCTAGGGACCGTGATTGGCTTGCTTTAGGAAAGGAAGATGTATTAGAAAAGAGGGAGGATACAATGAGAAACTCTCATCTTGTTAGCTTAAAATATGCTAAGGTTAGTCAGCTTCCGGATGAGTTGGAATGTCTAAACCTTAAATTTTTCTCAATGCATGGCTCTGTGGAAGTTCCCTATAACTTTTTTAAGGGGATGCAAAGACTCAAAGTCTTGGAATTTGGCAAAACAAATTTTACAACCTTGCCTTCCTCCCTTGGTTTCTTGAAAACTCTCTGTACATTGCGTTTGATAGGCTGTGATGTAGAAGATATAGCCATCTTAGGAGAGTTGGAAAATTTGGAAATCCTTGATCTCCGTAGATCTAGAATGAAAATGCTGCCAAAGGAGATAGGACAGTTGACCAAGCTAAAATTGCTAGACTTGAGTGACTGTTATTATCTTAAAGTAATACCACCAAATGTGTTGTCAGTGTTATCCAAATTAGAAGAACTATACCTATACAATAGCTTTGACAAATGGGAGATTGAGGGAACTGAGAATCCAAGAAGCAAAGCTAGTCTCATGGAGTTGCAGCATCTGTCTCGTCTGACCACTTTGGAAGTACATATTCCTGATGTGGAAGCCATACCAAATGATATCTTGTTTCTCGAAAAGATGGGAAGGTTCAAGATTTCAATCGGAGATAAGAAGTGGGATTGGCTTGTCTCTGATGACAGAGGGATGGAAACATCAAGAATGTTGAAGCTGAAGATTAATAAAAGTAGTGATTTGGTCGAAGGCATTTATAAATCATTATCCAGAAAAACTGAAAGTCTAAGTCTGCAAGGAGGTGAAGATGTTGTGGAAAGGCTTTGCGATCTAAATGCTGAATCTTTTGAGCAATTAAGATTCATAAAAGTCGAGAATTGCAATATGTTGAAGAATTTGTTCTCATTCTCCATAGCGAAAAGCCTTCGCCAACTCGAAAAACTTGAGGTATACAGATGCGACAATATGATAGCAGTAATTGTTGAAAAGGAAGAGATTAGAGAGAATGAGACTTTGAAATTTGATAAATTACGCGTCTTGAAGTTGAATGCTCTGAATGGCTTGTGGTATATAGAAAATACATATCAATCCGTCACATGGCTTTTTGATAAAAAGGTATTTCTATTCATCTTTTTTTCATCTATTAATTATGGCATCCATCAATTTTTCTGTTTTGTTTTGATGTCTTTTCATTTTTTCCTTTAAATTAGATAAAGGAGTATATATTTATTTATATCTACACTATTATTACGAGTCAAGTGACATCAATTCAGTTGAAAATTTTACGGAAAAAACCAAATTTTAAAACAATTATAAAATATTATTATAAAAGTTTTTTATTATATCTTTTATTATCTTTATATAATATTCAAAAAGAATTTACGACTTTCTAAAAAAGTATATTTTTGAATGATAATTATTAATTAAGAAAGAATTATTCATGATGGAATATGAAACATGAGTTTTATATATTTGCAGGTTTCGTGTCCGGCCTTGGAAGAGTTGTACTTGAAGTCAATCGATGGCATTGAGAAAATATGGCATATTGATGATCACCTTTCTAGAATATATTTTAGTGTTCAAATTTTAACAATTTTGACAGTGAAGAAATGCCATAAGTTGAAGTATGTATTTACTTCATCCATGGTTAAAAGCTTTGTGCATCTGAAAAAACTTGTTGTTTGGGATTGTGATGAAATGGAATGGGTAATAGAGGCAACCGAAGAAGAAAGGATTAACGGCAGCATAATTGTGTTCCCTAAACTTCACTCTTTAAATCTCGCAACTCTTCCAAAACTGAGAGGATTTTGCTTTGGAATTAATCCGATTGAATTTCCCTCGCTAAGGGATTTAACAATACATGGCAGAGTAGCGGTACCAGATATCATCCATGAAAAGGTATGTATAAATATGTAGATATTTCCTAACTTGACTATATAATCCGATTGAATTGTGATGAAAGGGATTTAACATGCATTCTACTTCCAACATTTTCTTTGAAAGAAGTTTTCACTTTTAGTTAAATTTATTTAATATGTAAGAGTTAAAAGTTCAAAAATGAAAATGAAAATACAAAACATTTTCTTTTGGAAGTGTTGTACATGAAGTCAATCGGTGGCATTGAGAAAACATGGCTTTTTGATAAAAAGGTATTTATATTCATCTTTTTTTTTCATCTGTTAATTACAGCATCCATCAATTTTTCTTTTTTATTTTGATGTCTTTTCATTTTTTTTCCTTTAAATTAGATAAAAGAGTATATATTTATTTATATCTACACAATTCAGTTGAAAATTTTAAGGAAAAAAACCAATTTTTAAAACAATTATAAACTATTATTATAAGAGTTTTTTATTATATCTTTTATTATCTTTATATAATTTTCAAAAAGAATTTTTGACATCCTAAAAAAATATTTTTGAATGATAATTATTAATTAAGAAAGAATTATTCATGATGAAATATGAAACTTGAGTTTTATATATTTGCAGGTTTCGTGTCCTGCTTTGGAAGTGTTGTACATGAAGTCAATCGGTGGCATTGAGAAAACATGGCTTTTTGATAAAAAGGTATTTATATTCATCTTTTTTTTTCATCTGTTAATTACAGCATCCATCAATTTTTCTTTTTTATTTTGATGTCTTTTCATTTTTTTTCCTTTAAATTAGATAAAAGAGTATATATTTATTTATATCTACACAATTCAGTTGAAAATTTTAAGGAAAAAAACCAATTTTTAAAACAATTATAAACTATTATTATAAGAGTTTTTTATTATATCTTTTATTATCTTTATATAATTTTCAAAAAGAATTTATGACTTTCTAAAAAAACCACAATATATATTTTGAATGATAATTATTAATTAAGAAAGAATTATTCTTGATGGAATATGAAACATGAGTTTTATATATTTGCAGGTTTCGCGTCCTGCCTTGGAACAGTTGGGCTTGAGCTCAATAGGTGGCATTGAGAAAATATGGCATATTGATGATCACCTTTCTGGAATATATTTTAGTGTTCAAAGTTTAACATTTTTGGAAGTATGGAATTGCAAGAAGTTGAAGTATGTATTTACTTCATCCATGGTTAAAAGCTTTGTGCATCTGAAAACACTTGTTGTCCATGATTCTGGTGAAATGGAATGGGTAATAGAGGGAATACTAGAGGCAACCGAAGAAGAAAGGATTAACGGCAGCATAAGTGTGTTCCCTAAACTTGAATGTTTGAAACTCAGTTATCTTCCAAAACTGAAAGGATTTTGCTTTGGAATTAATCCGATTGAGTTTCCCTCGCTAAGGGATTTAAAAATAGAGGAATGTCGAAATTTGAACGCATTCGTTTTTGATGATGGAAAGAGCAGAGCAGTGGTACCACATATCTTCCATGAAAAGGTATGCATAAATATATAGATATTTTCTATCTGTAAGATCACATGCATTCTACTTCCAACCTTTTCTTTGAAAGACGATTTTGAAAGTTAAAGTATATATATCTAATAAGTAAGAAGTTTTCATTTTTAGTTAAATTTATTTGATATGTAAGAATATATATTTATCTTTTTTTTTTCATCTATTAATTATGGCATCCATCAATTTTTCTTTTTTGTTTGATGGCTTTTCATTTTTTCCTTTAAATTAGATAAAAGAGTATATTTATTTATATCGATAATTTTATTGAAAAAAAATTAAAACAATTATAAAATATTATTATAAGAGTTTTTTATTATATCTTTTATTATCTTTATATAATATTCAAAAAGAATTTATGACTTTCTAAAATATGTATATATTTTTAATGATAATTATTAATTAAGAAAGAATTACTCATGATGGAATATGAAACATGAGTTTTATATATTTGCAGGTTTCGTGTCCTGCCTTGGAAGAGTTGGAGTTGAACTCAATCTATGGCATTGAGAAAATATGGCATATTGATGATCAACTTCCATTAATGTCTTTTGGTGTTCAAAGTTTAACAAGCTTGAAAGTATGGAAATGCCATAAGTTGAAGTATGTATTTACTTCATCCATGGTTAAAAGCTTTGTGCATCTGAAAACACTTGAGGTTCGTAATTGTGATGAAATGGAATGGGTAATAGAGGGAATATTAGAGGCAACCGAAGAAGAAAGGATTAACGGCAGCATAAGTGTGTTCCCTAAACTTGACATTTTGGTACTCAATTCTCTTCCAAAACTGAAAGGATTTTGTTCTGGAATTAATCCGATTGTGTTTCCCTCGCTAAGGGATTTAACAATAACTGGATGTTCTGATTTGAAGGCATTCGTTTTTGATAATGGAAAGAGCAGAGCAGTGGTACCACATTTCTTCCGTGGAAAGGTACGCATAAAGATATAGATATTTTCTATCTGTAAAAACACATGCATTCTATTTACTCATCTTCCAACCTTTAGTTAAATTTATTTAATATGTAAGAGTTAAAAGTTAAAAAATAAAAATATAAAACATGATGTGCATAGCTGTAGCAATAAGTTATTAACTTGAATTCTTTTGGTGTTCTGTTTTCTTTTATTTTCTATGAAATATTTTCCTTTTCCAGTATGAATTACTTTTTTAGTATTGAACTCTTTCAATTTTGAACAAGGCATCCTATGTTTGTGTTGTTAACGAAACAATTGGGAATTGTGCAGTCTACGTTTCCAAATCTACATCAACTCTATTTGGGAGAGAATGAGCAGCAATTATTGCCATCTTACTTGTTCCGGTTATTAACCTTGCCCAATCTTCAAAAACTCGGAATAAGAGATTCTCTTTTTAAAGAGATGGTATTCCAAAGTGAAGAAGGTGGTGAGGAAAAGCCTGCATCGCTGCTACTCCCTCAGATAACTGAATTAAGGCTGAGTGATCTTAGTGAATTGATGCATCTATGGAAGGAAAAGGAAGGATTCCCAAATCTAAGGATTTTGCATGTTAACAGGTGCCCTAAATTAAAAGGTAATCTAGTTCCATCCTCGGTATCTTTCCGAAATCTGGTGACTTTGAGAGTATTTCGATGCCATGGAATCAAAAAATTAATCACACCTCCCACAGCAAAAAGTCTAGTGCAGCTCAAACAAATGAGTATTTCGTATTGCGAAAATATAGAAGAGATAATACAAGGTGGGGACGATGATGATGATGAAATCAGTTTACCCCAACTCAACCGTTTGGAACTCAGTGTTCTACCAAAGCTAGAAAGCTTCTGCTCATCAGGGAATTATACCTTTTCATTCCCATCCTTGGAAGATCTACTTGTATATAATTGCCCAAAGATGAAGATGTTCTCTCAAGGACGCTCAAACACTCCAAAGTTGAACAAAGTAGTAATAGAGAGTTGGAAAGGAGAAGTACATTTGGAAGGCAACCTTAACAGAACCATACAACAGCTATTCAGACAAAAGGTGTGTTTTCTCAAATTTCCTTTTCATTTACTATTTTACAATATTCTTGTAATTGGATTTACATTCCACTCACTGCAAACAATATATACACATTAATTGATACTGGTCAATATAAACCTAGTAAATACTGCTGAATTTTTAATCTCTTGGTAAATATAATTCTTTTCATAACAGCATAAATCTAATATAAATCTACGAGTAAACATGGTAGCATAAAGTATATATTTAATTATGTTATTCACTTGGTCATCATAACAGCATGCAATGATCGAGGAAGGTGAAAATCCTGAAGATGAAAATTCTGAAGATGAAAATCCTGAAGAAGATCAAAGCAATCCTTCCACTTCTAACACCCAAGTAAGTCTAAATTCATTTTAATTTCTTATTCTTCTTTTCTCTTTCATAAATGTTATTAATTTCTCTCAAGGATTATTAAATGTAGAATCTCACAGAGGAAGTGGAAAATTCCATAAAAGATCAAGGCAATTCTTCAACTTCTATCTTCGAATGACCTGAATCAAGTAAGCATATATATCGCAGCATACGGTTATTGTTAGATTCAATAAGATAGTTTCTTTGGTAAATGCTTTCATCATCTTAAGTTCAAAAGTGCAGAAATACTTATAATTATTATTTCCTGAATATCTCACTTGATTTATGAGTTTAAATAATAATCACTTGATTTTTCCTCTTATGGCATCATATTGAAACATTTGTTATCATCAATGTAACAGTGTACGGTGGCAGAAAACAAGTTGACGAGTGATGCTCTTTCTATTTTTCTATGACTTGATTGAAGTTTGATGGGTTGCGAAGAATGAATCAGTGTTGTGTAATTAACAAATTCTCCTTTGCGATGTTGTTTGATTGGTTCTAATGTTTGTGAGGAATAGCATAGGTTGTGTGGCGAAGTATGCAATTTATGTAACGAGGATTCGTGATATAGTCTAAATAAACCATCTTTGCATTTGTAAATATATATTTGTAGGGGAAGTATTTTTGGCAATGATGTATACTCATTCCTTTTTACAAAACGATGGCTTAATTGCCTATTAGTACTTCATCTTTCCATTTCTCAAGCTTCAAAGTCCCAGTATAATGCAGTTTAGCAAGGGCAATCAGCATCCCAAATATGACCCTGAATGGAATTATCAATTATGAATGAAAATCATTCATTTCAGCGTAGCAGAGGAACTAAAACTATAATTACACCAATTTTTAAGAATCCCAAAATAACACACATTTAACATTAATACAACTTACCCTGCGCTTAATATATCAGGATGAACATTGTATACCTTGGCAAAGACGAAAGGGATGATGCCTTGTGGAAGAGCTGCCTGAAAACTTGAAACGATTCCGATCTCCGGTTCACAGTATACTTTTTTAAGGGTAGATATACAGTCACCGGAAACTGATATTACCTCCATGGTTGCAATGCCGAGAAGAACACCTCTTAATCCGACAGTGATCAACGCAGCTGCCATGACGAATCGGACTGCCATGGAAAAGGATGCGGTCATCTTTCCAAAGACAATTATCCTTGGCTGAAGTGCCATGAATAAACCTACAAACGGATACGATTTCGGAAAAGTTAGAAGTGAAATTCGACATCTGTTTTTCCCTGAATGCACTACGAAATGAAAGAGCAACTATAGCAGACATTTGGATGCTCCACCTGCAAAAGTGCACTACGAAACTAATGAATTCGAATGTGGATTTGGACTAACATGGTGTAGTAGTTTTACATACTTGAACCAAACCAGAGTCTAAGTTAGGCCGATCAAGCTCGAATGAACCAAACCAGAGACTAAGTTAGGCCGATCAAGCTCGAATTCGGTTCAGCCTAGGGGTTGAGTTCAGCTGTGGAGCTCGAACCAAGCTATGTAAGCACCTGTCTTTCACGGTCAACCGCATTGTCGCCGGCTTATTAACGAAGGTGAATTCATATCTATCGTACTCATCATAATCTAAACAGGGAAATCAAACGAAATATCGAGTGTCGGAAAGGATCGTTTTAGAGTTTACCCTTTTTAATAAGGGTAAAGTACACAAATGCTCCCTCGACTATAGGATACTACCTTATTAAGTCCATTGATTATTAAAAGTTACAAAATGGTCCCCTAATTATAGGAAGTTACTTTGTTGAATCTTTTGACTATTAAAAGTTACAAAATGGTCACTAGACTATTCATTATGTTTCTCTTAACTTCATTTTCTTATTCAAACCTGCTGCTGCTGATATGGGATTCATCCATCTAAAAATTGCTTTCGTTTTGCCCCTGCAACTATTCAGGTGTGTGGATATTTGCTTGGAAAATCATAATTGAAATGATAGGGGCGAGGCGAGTTGAGAAGATATCAGGGCTGATGGGAAGCAGAGCACCTGTACTATATAGGAAGCCATAGTCCTACAGATAAGCAGAGCATGTCTTCGACTTATCCTTACAGCTCCAATTGCAGTCATCGTCCCACAACTTAGGTCAATTGAAAGTTTTATTTTGTGCATGAACAGAACCTCGATTATTTTATTTTATTTGTTTTGTTGTTTCTTTTGTGGTGTTGTCTATTGTAGCTGCTTATTTTTCATAGTCTACACTATATGCTACACTCCAGGTCTTAAGAAATCTTCCGGCATATGTGAAGATAGTGGAGGTTGGGCCATGGGATGGGTTGCAAAACGAAAAGGAAATCGTACCAATCACCTTAAAGGAATAAAGGTCCAGTTAATTAAAATGCTGGTTGCTTCAGGGTTGAATGTCGTCGAGACCACGAGTTTTGTCTCACCGAAATGGGTTCCACAGGTCAGTGTGCCTTTGTGTAATTCATGCTCGTCGACTTATGTTTGTGCAAGTAATGGTTTGATTTGATTGTAGAGTTGCTTGTATCCTCTTGATTCATGATTCTACAATTTGCTCCTTTTTTCCTTCAATATCTAATGTTAGTAGTCACCTATAGTTCATGTTTTATTAATCATTTGTAAAGTGATGTTTTATTCAATGGACTTTAGGTTTATTGTTATGCTCATCTTTCAAAGGGTTTGTGTGCTGCAAAAAGGAAAAATAAGAAACTGCTATCTTGAGCTAGTTCCTAATTGAATTGCAGCTGGCAGACGCAAAGGATGTAATGGATGCAATCCAGAATATTCAAGGAGCCTGATTTCCAGTGTTAACTCCAAACCATAAAGTAAGCTATCTCTAACGGAGAAAAACATTTCTGTTAAGAAATTGTGCAAATTTGTTGATAACATAAAATGCTTTCTTTAGCTGCTGTTTTGGATGGAGCCAAGGAAGTGGCTGTCTTTGCCTCAGCTTCCGAGTCTTTTTCCAAGTCAAACATAAATTGCAGTATCGAAGATAGTCTTGATCATTCTAGAGATGTTGCTTCTGCTGCCAGAGAGCTCTCACTTCCAGTTCGAGGGTATGTTTTCTGAACAACGAAGGATTGACTAGACTTACTATTCACAATTTTACTTTTGAACTATAATATATTTGGTTTTCATGCTTGAAATGATCTAACAATCCCCTGGATTTTCTAAGCATTATACATATCTTCACTTCATGGTTGAAGAATTTTTTTAACTTAAAAGCTAAAAGATTATGTCAAAAGATCTTTCTTATTGCCCAAAGATAAGTAATAAGGTTCCTAAAAGCATTAAGCAATAGTTGAAAAGGTCCTTGTTATGTTTATGTGTGTGGGGTTACCCCCAATGTAACAGACGTGAGATTTCTTTGATCTCCACTCTAATCTCCCCTCACGTGTTGGGAAAATGGACCTATTATCTTGGACTTGTGGAGAATTAACTCTATGTTGTAGCATTGGTATTGACACGTGTATAGCATCAGAATTTGAACTATTGTCTTCAGTTTTTCTTTTATGTGAGGAAAACTGTTCTTTCCTTTATCTTTCCTGTGGTATTGGCTATTTGATTAGGTTTTTTCCATGTAGCACTGACTTATTGAATATTTTTTAGAAAGGTACTTTTCTGGACTTTTCATTGAATTGAGAACCACTGCTGAACTTGCAGCAATCTGAATGAAAACTTTGTTACCTAAAAAGAAGAAAATGTTAGAATTTGTCTAGTAAACATGGTACATTATTGGGAGAGTAATGTTTGACAAAAATTATTTCACGTGTATGTATATTGTCTGGTTGCATTAATTCCTAGTGATAGTGAATCCGTAGGATGAAAAGGCAATCCTAAATAAGATTTATTTTACTTTTTATTTTATATTTTTATTAATATGACCGCCTTAGCTATCTGATCTTCTCAGGTATATATCATGCGTAGTTGGTTGCCCAGTGGAAGGAATGGTGCCTCCATCGAAAGTAGCTTACGTAGCTAAACGGCTCTTTGGGTTGCTCAGAAATTTTCCTTGGTGATACAATCGGTGTTGGTACACCCGGTAAGTTTTACTGTTACCTTCTGCTAGTCTTTTCTGTTTTTACATACACCATTCATTGATGGAGATTAGTTGAAGGAGACACATATCTAGATAAACATATCCGTTCTAGTCGTGAGACAAATGTGGATGGTAACGTAGACATGTTTTGGTTTCTTTTTTATCGGATGTGACACATAAGATTGCTCTTCTCATTTGGAAAAACATTTTGGAATTCTTCTGTGTCAAATGACTCTTTATCTCGATCTTATCTCATCCTCCCAAAATCCTTTGATCTGATATGGAGGATTCCTATTTTGCTTTGATCAAACAGTGGAAACCATCCTTTATATGCCTATGGTATTCGTTTTGGTCTATGTGCTATTATTTCATAGTTGTCCAATCTTGACTTCTCTTCTCTGTTTCATCTTGTAATACAATCATCAAATTTTTATTTGTTTTCAGTAAGGTCTATGTTGTTAGCTCCCGCTAGTTTTTGCTGGCATGGCACCTAATCCCCGTCAACCCCCTTATTCTTCTTCTCCTCTCACACCTCCGGTCAGCGTTACCTCACACTGCCATCACCATCGTCACCAGTGTCACCTCCTGACCCTTGATTCATACTCATCGTCCACCATTCGTCTCAAATCACGAGAAGACCGTTCGAATACCTATCCCCGATCTCCGTCGTCAATCACCGGTGACAGTCACTGCCAGTAACAATAGGAGCCCATCCCCATTACGACCAAAATCCCGCTAACCTCTCGCCGAGACTCACCTCTGTTCGTGGTGAAGAGGGCCCTGAATCTCATCGAAAAACCCCAACACTCCTTTTCTGTTTTCATTGCTTTTTGGTCAATTGGGTCGTTTGTTCGCCACATCGTCACCACCGTTGGAGTCCTAACACCACTGACCAAAACCTAGTTGGTCGTGCCTCCTCGCTGTCGTCCTTCCTTTGTCTGCCGTTAGTTAAGAATAAGGGGGTTAACGAGGGTAATGTGTCACATCAACAAAAACTAACGGGAGGTAATGACAGGGACCTTACTGAAAAAGAACTAAAAGTTCGATGATTGTATTGTAAGTTTCAAGAGTTAGGTGACCAAAATGCAAGCACTCTAAAAATTTGGGGAATATTAATATACTTTACCCTTAAAAGAATTATTGAATCAAGTGAATTGACTTTTTCATTTATTTTATAAGGTAAAAAAATAATTATAGTTTTTGTAACGAAAGCCCTGATAAATTGAAAGTCAAAAAGACAAAATAATTTTATTTAACTTTAAATACTTCAATTTTCATAACATAAAAGTCTAAAAATTAGATTTTCTTACACAAGTTTTCATCGTTGAATGAAAAGGTCAAAAAGTCAATTATTTTGAAGTTACAAATATAAATACTATGATTATTACTATCAAGGGATAGAAAGTTCGATATTTCTTATAAAATATTTCGAATTTTAAGTTATTTAGGGTAAATACAAGGCAATACATGTTTAAAAATAATTTTCAACCTCTCAACATTAAATTCTCACACCCTTAACATCTATAGTACTCGAATATGGATCCTCAATAAATAACAATAATTCATTTATTACGAAAATCACTGATTCGTTTACTAAATATTAGTTTAAACTCATATTTAAATCGACCCGATTTTATTATATTTCAACTTCAAATGAGAAAGTCAAAAAGCCATTCCCCGGTAAAAAAAGTCAACGTTTCTTTTAATCAGCGCTAGCCGTTAGGTAAAACGGAAAAAAATAAAAAGGAATTGTTGTAAATTGACTGAATTCTAAAATTGCAAGAATGACTGTGCTGTTACCTTATCCGCACGTGCTTTTTTCATCTTATCTACAAATTAGCAAGCGACGCGTAAAACAACCACGTGTCACCTTCGGCCAACAGATTGTTACCAGCTGTCCCGTCACAGCCGTGTGAGGGTTACACATTCTACCGTGAGGGAAAGAAGGAATATGACTACTTGACTTGGGTATTTCCCCAACTACACATGTATAATGGCACCTAACTCGACACGTACCTAACTAACTCATCGCCGAGTCACACAAATCGTTTTTTTCTAGGAAGTTCTGTTATACGGTAAAGGTTAATTAAATGTTACCTAAAATATTAATATTTTTTTAATATTTTAGTAGAAAAATAATATTTTAGATAACGTCTCATATTAATATTTTTAGTAAAAAATAATATTTCTCGATAATATTTTTTTATATTAATATTTTTGATAAAAAAATATTAATATTTTCAATAACGCATTTATTTAATCTTATATTAAATTGTCTTTCATTACATATCCATTTTCTCCCTCTCCAAACCAAAAAAAAAATTTTAACAACCAAAAGTTTCATTTTCCTCTTTAAAGAAAAATAATATCACTTTCCACTATTTAACTTTTTTATTCCTCCTTAATTAACATTATTGTAGTAACATGAAAATTACAGATCCGAAAGTTGTATATAATTGGATAAAGTACACAAATGATACTCTGATTATAGGGTAAAATACATAAATGATATCTGATAACATCCGAATATTTTTAAATAAAAACTTTTAATTATCAAATTTAGTTATTTTTTATACAATTTATTTATTTACTTTTGAAAATTTTATACCCATTTCACAAAAAAATATACCCTTTATCAATATTTTTTTACCCTTTTACTTAATCACACTTTGGCAATAAGCAAAATCTAGATTTTATATTAACTTACCATATTTGCGGAGGTATATATAATATTTTATTATTAATATTGTTATTTAACGGTATACATTAAGGAATATACAAACACCAATTAGGTATTTTTCGCCACGTATACGCGTAATAAATAATGTGGCCAAACAGATAATACCTTTTTTGAAAAATCCTTTTTTTAAAATAAAAATAGTGAATCAAATAATTTACAAACTATAAATATATCAAATATGATATGTACAGCATTTATCCAATTTAAATTAGTATAATATCAAAATTAGTCCTAACATTTATCAAAATAGTTATGTTAGTCCATATTTTTTGAATGTTTTGGACTCTAAGGTTTTATTTTGGGACAAAAAATATATTTTCATAGATTAAAAATATTAGTTAAAAAACTATTAACACTCCGAAATATTGACTTTTTTTATCCTAAAACGAAACATTGGAGGCCAAAATGCTATAGAAAAAAAATAATGATAAAAGTGACTATTTAATCAAATGTTAGAGATTTTTTATCCTAAAATAAAACGTTAGAGTAAAAATACTCCGAAAAAATAATTAGAACCAAAATATCATTTTAATAAACACTGAGGACTTCTTTTTACATTATGTCTTTATAAAACATAAAACTCTAATCCTTTTGGTGCGGTTACGCCTCCTATTGATTGGATGAAAGCTAATTCTCATATAATTTAAGTTTTACTTTTTATATTATGTTTTCATTTATAAATTATATAATTTTAAAATTTTTAATATAATTTCTTAAAAAATAACGTTCCTAACTAAAACTCAGCTTATTACATCATATAATCTTTTATTTGATTTATTTATTATAAATTTACTAAAAAAATCACATATTTGTTATAAAAGACAAAAAAAGAAAGTAAGAGAGAGGAAGTTTATAACAAATGAATTTCTCTATATCTCCTTTCCATGAAGAAACGTATTGTGACCAAAAAAGAACCCCATAACCCAAAAAACAAATAAATAAAATAAAATTTGTGACCTTGAGGGACACGGGTCGGGTATTGGATTGACCCATTCGGGTATATCAACAACATCCAGAGAAGATTTATATAGGAATTTGGTGGTCTGTTGAAAGAAGCTGGCAGCTATTGGTTACAACAGTTGATCGAAAATTTTCCTTTTCCTTCTCCATTAAAGTTCTCATTTTTATTTTTATTTTGCTACATTTTTTTTTCAGTTCTGATTTTCGGGTAAGCTTATGGGGTTTTTAGTTTATTTCATTATTGGGGTTTACATGTGCTTTTTGATTTTCTGTTTGTTTTTTTATTTCGATGTTAGATTTTCTTTTTTGATTCTGGGAAACAATTATCATCCCAAGTGTTAAGTTGTCGTTTGTCTAGTTGCTGACGGATTCTTTTTGGTTTTCTTTTTCCAGGTTTCTTTATAGTTTTAGTTTGATCTTCTCGAGAAAATTGAAGGGATTTTCCGGGAAAGTTGTTTTCTTTTTTGTCTATTACCAGAATCTGCGTAAAACACAAACAACCCAGATTTTGGTCCCATTCCGATCACCCCCTTTCTTCATCGGAATACTTAAAAGATTCGATTTTGAGGGCTTGATTTAGATCCTATATGGAGAATAAATGAATACAATTGGATTCTGGTTCTTTTGATCTGAATTGTATTGACCCCCTTTTTCCTTTTTAATCTTGATTTCGTCAAAAAGAAAAAAAATGGCGATGAAAGGTTGGCCATTAGAGCAATGGAGGGGTTACTTTCGGACAGCAAACTCAGACATATTTGATATAATCGATCATGCTATTGTGGTAGCCGCTTTAGATTGTCCTAAAGAGTTTAGAGTACGTAGAGATCGAATTGCTGAGAAGCTTTTCACTTGCAAATTCACTCGGTGTTCGGGTTGCGATCGGGTCGAGTTAGTTGTACCTGAGTGTGAAGAGGTAGACGATGACGCTCGAGCCGGTGGCTGCCATACGAGCTTCAAAAGTGAAGGTGATGAAGAATTTGAGGCAGGTGGTAGCAAAGAGAGCAAAGCTAACAGTAGCGGAGATGACCCTTTGATTAACCAAATTGCTAGTAATTATAGCTATGGTGAAGCTGAGGCTTTGACCGATGAAATCGAAGAAGAGGCAATGATTGTTGGTGAAGTGTTTAGGATCAAAGAGGTTCTTCACAGTTTTCAGGATGAGGTTTGTGCTTTGGAGGGTTTAAAACATATAGCTTTTATGGAATTTGTGTAAATGATAGTTTTCGATTGATAGTTTCTCGTGTTATTAATGTTTATTGCAGCCGGATTCTGTACTGTTTGAATCCTTGAGGAAGCTTCAATTAATGGCTTTGACAGTGGATATTCTTGAGGTCCTTTGCTTGAAACCTTTTCCCTTGTTTTAAGTAGGTTTTTCCCATTGTAATGCTTGGATAACAAGGTAAATTGTTTCCATTTTCAGGCCACTGGTATTGGAAAGGCCATTAATCGTGTGAGAAAGCATTCATCAAAGCAGATTCGTAATCTTGCTCAAACTCTCATTGGGTATG